AAGAGAGACAGGTTGGGAGAAGGAAGGGAGGAAGGAAGGAGGGAAGGAAGGGAGGGAGGGAGGGAGGGAGGGAGGGAGGAGAGACAGGTTGGGAAAAAGAAAGAATGGAAATCTGAAGGAAGGAAGGAAGGAAGGAGAAGACAGGTTGGGAAAAGGAAGGAAGGAAGAAAGGAGAGAAAGGTTGGGAAAAAAAGGAATGGAAATCTGAAGGGAAGAAGGAAGGAAGGAAGGAAGGAAGGAAGGAAGGGAGGGAGGGTTAACATAGATAAGTCCACCCTGGTTCCGTGTCTCAGCTTCTTGGAATCTGAAGACTGCGGTGTTCCAATCAAAGTGCAGCTAGTGGCGCAAGTGACAACCCCCCCCCCATTGGCCAAAAGTCACATCACTCTCCTTGAAGGCCCGCCTTACCAAGAGGGAAGGTGATTTGGTCACACATGCCCAGAAGCTGCCCAAAGTAGATCTTGTTCTCCGAAGGGTGGATGCCAAGATCTGCCATCCTGCAGAAAAAGAAGGAAGGGTTTCAGATGACAACCTACTTGTGGCTCTTCCACCTGGTTCTAGAATAGTCTTCCCCAACCCTCCTTCCAGATGTGCAGACGCCATCTTGCGGTGTCTCCAGGACGAGGAGCCCTCCTCTTTGGGGCTTCGTCAGGTGGGTCGGCGGGCCTCACGCTGACCAGTACCTGCCCAGGGTGAACTTGACTGTGTCTGTATTGTGAGAAGCCACCATCACGTTGGCCTTCCGGCTGTGCCGGATCTCCTCCAAGATGTAGTCCAGGCATCTGCAGGAAAGACGGGCGGAGGTGTCAGCGGACCTCCCAGGTGTCCTCCTTCCCCCCCCCCCGAAGAGCCTCGGAGCCCCGAACCCCCTTCTGCCCCACCTGTGGTACATCTCGCTCGTCTTTTCATAGGTTGGGTTGATGGGATCCTCGTAGCCCACCTCGGCCGCCCGACTTCGCTCCTGCTCCATGTAGGCGCCCCTCACCAGCTTGGCTCCGAAATGCCAGCCTTCCCGGCGTGAGAGCTCTACGTCGATGGTCACAT